AGCTTGGGAATAGAGTAGGCGTGCATTTAGAGAGGGTGTGCATTTATAGAGTGTGCATTTATAGAGGGTTGACTGTAATTGGTTGAGAAATCAAAACAATAACTATTCAGCGAGCCGTAAAGGTTATATAACCCGAGCCGAAGAATAGTATATACCTTCGCGTTAAAAAAGAAACGCGGAAAGCAGAGGTAAGTAATCGGTAAGAGGCATATGTACGAGTGCCAGTTTCACTGATAATTTATCATGTTTGATTCCAGAACGTCCGTCGTCCATATGACTAAACGGCGTATGGAAAATTGTGTACAGAAATTCGTTAATTTTAAGAATCTGTTGATCGTTTGATCACCTGATCATATCCCCGCTTCAGATATATCCCCAAAAAGTGTCCGCCCCAAGATGGGGATATAAACGAGGGATGACTGTATATCGGTATGTTTTTAACCGCTTTCTATCATTGATTATTTGCGAAAAAAAATTAAGATTGATGAGGTGAGAATTAAATCCAACTTTTGTTTTTTATTGGCTAGATAATGGAATATCTCCTCAGTTAATTTCATATATTCAGCATTTTCGTAAGCCTGATAAATCTCAATAGTGATGGTAGCGGGTGACATTGGTAAGGTTTCCGTATGGTGTCTCACACGTGATTTTTATTACCTGTTGTAAGCTATTATGATGGCGCGGCAATCAATCGGTAACCCGCTCACTCACCCAAAGTCGTTGTATATGCAACTTGTTTTCTCGAAAATTAACCATTGTGCATGTAACTGTAGCATATATATCAATAAAAATAATAAAAATAGCACTTTTTTTCGCAAATAAAATTCAAGAGATTATAGATAATTTTTTCAAGCTCCTGAAATTTCAGCTGGGACTCTGCCAAAAAATTTTTTTGTTTTTTACGCGGTTTGAAGAACGCAATTTTAATTCCAGACTCTACCATCAGATAGTCATATGCACAGTGCATTTGGAGCTAAATTTAACCTGGGATTTCGAGAGATAAATTTAACCGTACGCTGATCCAGGTCTGCACAACTTTGACGCTCAAAAAAAATTATTTATTTGATAAAAATAAGCCAATAATAATTTGAAGACATCAGACCGTGTTGACAATCTTAGCATGCCGGCAAAGAGATTGAGAAAGAAATAAAAATACTGCAAATAACATTCTCGAAAAACGTTATTTATCTCACTTCTTCAAGTTTAAAAGAAATTTTATTGAAAGAAAAAAGGTTTTCAGATTGTCCAAAGGAAAAACCGAACAAGAGGAGAAAAAGTGAATTAAAATAAGAAATATTCGATAACCCAAGAGATTAAAAAAGAATCAACAAAGATAACCCGTTACAATGTCTATACGATACATTCAATAATATAACAGATCGAGACGAGACGTCAGGAAGAAAAGTTGTAGAGAGCAATTCAACTTGGCGGCGCCGACGTCATCGATTTCGCAATTTAAAAAAATGTTACAATGAAATTGCGCACTGTCACACAAATTACGTGCAAATTGCGCCTTAGTTTCACAGAAACGTAACGCAAGATTTAGTTTTAAAAATTGTCGCCTTCTCACTTATTAAACGGTTGCAAAATTTTTATCATAATTGACGTGTGTCGAAAATGTGTTGAGCAAATAACAACATACTACGAGCAGTGGTAAAAATTATTGTTGTTGGACTCATTCATTATAAATTTCTCAATTAGACGTGTCATAGTCAATTATATTGCCTTTTGTGGTAATACAGTCTTTGACTAAATATTATTGTTCTAATAGTTGTTCTATTATTATTGTCCGTAGCATTGTTGAACGGAAGTACCGTATTGCTTTGACTAAAGTACCCCGGGTATTTTACGCGATAATATTGATTTTTTCGACAATAGTACACGGGTCTTTTACAAAATCAGGCCTCAAAATTGCTGAAGGGTACTTTGCTCGGGGGAGGGGGTATTTTAGTCAAAGCTGTGCGGTATCTATTGCCGAGAAGGCTAAATTACGAGATTAATATTTAGTAGTAGTTAAGCAAATACTGGAGTATCAGATTAAATATGAAAGAATAGTTCGATATTGGTTCAATATTATCGGTTATTTATTGACATTAAGCAGTATAAAAAACCGCCTGCGCATTTTAGTTATTTTTAATTGACGCAAGCGTATAAGCAAGACCACGTTTAGAGTTAAATGTTGAGACTATTCCACCAGTCAAATTTAACATTCCTGGTGACTGAGCTTAACATTAACAGTTTAAACCTTGCCTAAGCTACCATTAATCCTAAATTTAGGAAAGTACAGTCGTACCCCTTTATAGTCACCCTCTCTATAAGCACATCATATAAAAACCTCTTTATTAGCACACCATGTCAATGTTGTGCTGTTGAAAGGATCGGCAATACATAGGCACACAATGAAAGGAGGCGTTATCGATAAGACAGAAAAACGATGGACTTATTTTCCCCCAAATATTTCAGATAGTCAAACCCTTTTCGTATTAAGAGTCGAATACGCCAAGCTGGCTTTTCTTATTCGAAGACTGCGCGAGGTTGTGTTAATAATGACTAGCAGCATCGGTTTGTACTCAAAAAGGATAGCATACGGTCTTTTTATTTTACAGATCCGGGGATATTTTCGCCGTACTATCCCGGTCTAACCAGAACATACAAACATAATTATGTTTATTAAAATTTTGGCATGCGATTACACCTCTCCAGGCTCTATTGCAAATTTAAAAGAGCTAAATAACTATTATTATTTACTATTAATCATTAATCATTAATCAAAACCTTATATTTTCTTAAAGCCAATCAATGTGTCTTTTTATAGTCGATTCCTGTTTATGGCGCAATTTTTACCGTTACAAAGAGCGTGAGTGATCTAAGGATGACACAGTTGTTGTGTTATTGTGCTACAATGTCATTGATATGCAGTATGTCGTCCAATTAGCTTACTATTTGTGGCAATATGGCGCTGTTATCGTTATATATTATAAATGTTATTCTACTTGCTTTATTGGTACCTTCGCCAGTTAAAATTTGGCTAGCGACTCGAACAAGCAAACACGAACCAATAGTGTTAAGCTATACATAGATATTTGTATAACATATTTCTTATTCTTTTCTGATATTGCTATAATGGTATTCTTTGGCAAATCAGCTGAGCAATAAACTACATCATGAGATGCACTGAATCGACAATCACCCAGTCTTATTTGTATTCTTTGGTAAAAAAAAAAAAGAGTCTGAATCCAGTCTTATCATTTAAAGTTGAGTTTCTATGGTAAATTCTAGAAAGAAAGTTTTTTTTTTTATTTACAAATTGAATTGGTTGTATTACGTTTCACATCAAACAGTCCGAGCAATTAAAAACAGTTCCCCCCTCATATTTCCATTATTCTTACTGCTTGCATATGGTGCCAATATTAATACAGATTCGATTAGTGATCGTTTGTTATATTAGGGAAAAGCAAGCAAGTATTTGGATGTATCGTTTGTAATTTGATGAATTATGAATAATTTCATTTTTCGCTTTATTTGAATCAAGCCGTCAGGGAGTCCTTGTCGGGTAAATGACAAATCAATGCAGGCCGATAACGATTGTTTTGAGCAGTTACACAAATACATGTATTGTACTATTTGAAGATATGAATAAACTTTGCGAGTTTCTCTTTGCCTCGATTCGAAACCAAAAAGGGGCTGATTACAGCATTTTGATATTAAGTGACAATAGAGACGTTTAAGTATTTTTTATTATTAGTATACTCTTTTGATTCGTCTCGCAATTTTTTGATATTTACACAGAACAAATTGTCAAGCTCTCAAGTACCGCAAATACCAATCTTTGTGGGATGTAACTCAAGATACCCACTCGACCCGTTCCGAGAATGGTCAACCCGTGGCCAGATTATCGCATGTGGCAATCTCAGATTGGGGAGCACAACATCAAATTTCATCTTTTACCCAAAATAAATCTGTAACCAAGAGAGATACACAGTGGCGATGAGCGACGATAAGGTACATTAAACTGACTGACAATATCAAAACTATCATTCATTTATGCAATACGGCATGCTTAAAAAAATTCCCGATTCGATAGATCACAATTACGGTCCTTTACTTTGCATCAGCCTGTGATGCGACGGGCTTGTCTTCGGAATCTCTCACATTTCCCCTACCACAAATACGCATAAACGAACTTGAGGATAAGTTGAAAGCTCGTCATGAGAAATTGAAAAGCTTGCTAGATGTATGTATGTTCGCCGTGAATATGGAGTATTGCGAGAGAGATTATATCGTAAAGGAAGGTGACGAGGTTGCTATAATCCCCCCCGTTAGTGGAGGATGAAGGGTAATGCGATGAAGAGAAGGGCGGTTTCATGTTATACAATAGTAATAGAGTTGATCGACTATAAACTGTGACAATGCTTTCACAGCAGTAAAGTGCTTTACATCTTGATATAACTTTAACTCTATCCAATGAAGGGCATAAACCAAACTTTGTCTTTGTTACCATGCCACTCGACTAGATCACGCATCCCTTTATGACAGCAAAATTTGCAAGTCCGTTGTTTTGCTTCCTTTATCTTGTGCTCGGATCCCAGCTATGGCCATTGTTTATTGGTTAATTATTAAACCGGAGGGATGGTTATAAACTAATTGATTGCATAAAGGACGTTGAGTCTCGGTCTCCAGTCTAGTCTTTTTTAATATTATGGGTAAAGTGCGTCATCTTCAAAACGATTGAATTTTTAGAGGTGACAAGCGATTTTACTTTACGAAATGATTGAAAGCATCTTGCTTCTGTGTAGACCACAATCTTATGAATGAAGTTGAAGAGGCGCAAGTGAAACTGTTTTCAAAAGAACAGTTAAGAAGCACCACGTCTACTACATTTGGTGACTCAAAAAGAGACACTAGTATATGCCTGCGACGCGGATTAATGAGAATGCGATAAACTTCTGAGGAAGCTGGTAATGAGCTTGCAACCTGTACGCAGTCGTCGCTTTTGTTCCTAATTCTTTCAATTGCCATTATGACGAGTATGCAGGAAAAGAATCCGACGTAGATGTTAATGTTATGTCTACCACAATAATAACAATCATTATAAGTGAAAGCCCGGTTTCTGGGTGAATTGTTTCCTGACTAAAATATGTTGGCAAGTTTGCGTGCGTTTGAGCAATCGTAAAACTTTCAAGTTTTCGGGCTGAGTAGAGATTATGTGAAAAAGCTTTTCGCACGTACTATAAAGGGAGAAATTTTATTGCTGGAATCCAAATGCAGACTGGTGCCGCAACTGAAAACCAACATGAGAAACTGTCTATCGTTTTTAAAACGCTCTTGGAAATTTACGGACAACTACTAATAGAAACAATTTCTTGAGGATGGATTTGTAATCTTTGCAAAGCCTGATTACATATGCATGCATATGGCTCCATCAAGCAACGCACAAAGAAGTATCCGTGTCTGTAACAAACACCGCTTGTAAACTTTTCACCCTCTTAGATTCTATATGTTTCCACATGCGGAACATGTTTTTGAAATATACGATTCGACCATCTACACGGTTTTCGAATTAATCTTTCTCGTTTTTCCATTAGAAACGTTGAATTCGGCCATAATGATAACAAAATTGTAATTCTTTGCCTGATAATTACGTTTCTTATGAATTAATTCCTCTGGTTTTTGATCCTCATAAAGCTTCTCAAATTCTTTATCAATTCTCTTGGTCTTTTTCTTTATTCTCTTTGAAATTGTCTTTTGTGCTGGACGAGTACATCACAAACTAAAACAGAGTTTAAGACTCTTTTTTTTCGTGTACAAAAAAATCTATTCGCTAGTTTTTTTTAAAGTATACTTGGAAAGTCTATCATCTTCTTACATTTATCTACACATACAATTAAAACTTGTGCAAATAGTCAATGATCGTATCTGGATTAATTTTGTCAATCCCATCCATTACTTTTCGATATTTGGTTCTGTCCACATTTTTGTTCACTTCTCTTCTCATTTTTTCTATCCGGCAAATCAAAATAATTGTAAATTTTGCGGTCAAAAAGAACAACAGGATTTTGTAATAGTAATATTTTTTTCTTCACTTTGCGGTTGGCTGCTCTTCCTCCTTGCCGTCTGTAAATTGTTGATGGCAAGAATATGTTGAACAGCTCAAGATTTATCAGTCATTGAATTGACAGAGAGAACCATGTTGAGTGAAATGTGTACCTGAGGAGTTTGCACAAGTGATTACGAGATATGAATGTAATCTATAATAATACAAATTAAATAGCCGCTGTTTTAGGTAGACTAAATTAGGTGGAGATTTTAAGCATACTGATATTGATTTAAAGCATGTTGCATAATTATACATGTCACAGGACTCAGAATACACATGACTCTCATTCCTAATGTGGACATAAATTGATATGACTCAAAATATACCCTATTGTAATACATTGCTAAAAGTCTTTGGTCAACAAAAAAATATATTTCTTATTTATTTAACTTTTACGTAAACATAACATTTAATACTTTGTAGGTCTTATGCACGCTTCAATTCTTGTTTTTTGGCATATGATGGTCATCACTATTCATGGAAGATGGTCTTCCAGTTCTTTTAGAACTTGAACTAGGACTGGAATTAGCATGTTGGGCAATTGTATACATAACAATTTTTTTTTAACCTTTGGAATACGAGCTATAGTTTTACGGACTTTCCAGCCATTTGCAAATTAATAAATGTACATGTTGTGTCTGAGTTCAGGACCTGTCTCAGTTCAGAACCCACACACTCAAACTCATGTAATTTCCAAATGCAACTTTAGCGTTTATTCGTAGATGCCATCAATAAAGAACGCAGATCATTATGTCAGATGCAATTAAATTGTTTACGTTTTTGTTTATCAAAATTTATTCATACATCAATAAACACGTATTCAATATCAAGGAGTTTTTTTTTGCCTAATTAATGTGTCCAATTTTAAAAATCTTGACCAAATACAGTCGTACCCCCCTATAATTACACAGTCGGGAACAATGCAACTTTTATTGAAAATGTGCTTATAAAGAGGTTGTGACTGTATAGAGGGTTTTTCCTA